ATCGTTGTCTCTGAATGAATTACAAAATAAGTTYTTCAGCGATCACTGAACAAGCTCAGTGTATGATCGCTGGAACTGAAATTACAGACACAGAAATACATCGAAAGGAAAAAGGGATTATCATCAAATCACTGAGAGAGAGGATCAACACACTCCCACCTCCACACCTCCTTCTGAGACCGTGTCCCCTCCTTCCGACACTATAGCTCACACAGTCGACCCAATTCCCTCTCACAAACCTTTGGCCTCCTCCATCCCAACTCCTTCGAACACACCGTCCACTATCGATCCTACCCCTCCTATCCACTCCACACATCCCATGACCACCCGCACTAAGAGCGAGATTGTCAAACCCATTGAGCACCTTAATCTCCACACTGCTGCCCTTTCACCCGTCCCTAGGTCCCACCTACAGGCACTGCATGACCCTCACTAGCGCCAGGCCATGAACGAGGAACATCGCACTCTACTGACAAATGGCACTTTGGTTCTTCTTCCTAGACCCCCAGGGTCAATGTGGTTCGGTCGATATGGCTATTTTGCCACAAATTTCATGCTGATGGATCTCTTGCAAGATATAAAGCCCGTCTCGTAGCCAATGGTCGCAACCAGCAGCTGGGGATAGACTGTGATGAGACCTTCGTACAGTTCTCAGTCTCGCCATCTCCCGCCAGTGGCATATTCACCAGCTAGACGTGAAGAATGCCTTCCTTCACGACCATCTTTAGGAGACAGTTTATATGCATCAGCCACCTGTGTTCTGCGACTCTCGCTATCCGGACCATGTATGTCACTTACAGTGGTCTCTATATGGCCTCAAGCAGGCTCCACGTGCATGGTATCATCGGTTTGCCTAGTACGCCTTACAGATTGGTTGCTACCATAGCCGGATGGACTCATCTCTGTTCATCTACCACACACCGCGTGCCACTGTATATCTTCTTCTATATGTGGATGATATCATCCTCACGGCATCTACACCCATGTTTCTTCAGCAGATCATATCTCAACTGAGCCGCGAATTCGCCATGACTGATTTAGGCGATCTTCACTATTTCCTAGGTGTCTCGGCTGTCCGGTCTTCCACGGGTTTATTCCTCTCTCAACGACAGTATGTGGTTGACATTTTAGAGCGGGTAAAGATGCTTCATTGCAACCCCGCACGGACTTCTGTCGAGCCGGTTCATAAACTGGACGCTACGGGTCACCCGGTTTCCGATCCTACTTTATATCGTAGCCTGGCTGGTGCTCTTCAGTATCTCACATTCACCCTCCCCGACATTGCTTTTGCTATTCAGCAGATCTGCCTATACATGCATGATCCGAGGGAACCCCACTTTCATGCCCTATAGCGGGTTCTACGTTACATCCGTGGTACCTTGTCTCATGGCCTACAACTTCATGTTTCCCTTTCCTCATACCTCATTGCATATTCCGATGCAGACTGGGGGGATGCCCGGCCTCCAGGTGGTCGACATCAGGCTATTGTGTTTTCCTTGGCGACAATCTTGTCTCATGGTCCTCAAAGCGCCAAAGGGTTATATCTCGTTCCAGTGCTGAAGCTGAATATCACGGTGTCGCAAATGTCGTGGCAGAAACAAGCTGGCTACGCAATCTAGTTCAAGAACTCCACTGCCCAACGAACAAGGCAACTCTTGTATATTGTGACAACGTTAGTGCCGTCTATATGTCTCACAATCCGGTTCAACATCAACGCACCAACACACATTGAGATTGATATCCATTTTGTCATAGACAAAGTTGCTCTCGGCCTTGTTCGAGGGCTCCACGTTCCATCCAGTTCTCAATACACAGATATCTTCATGAAAGGCCTTGCCACATCTATATTTCATGATTTATGTTCCAGTCTGAACGTCCGACAACCTCCCGATCAAACTGCGGAAGGATGTTAGTGTTTATTATTTGCTTAGCCCACTTGTATTTCGATCATTATGCATAGTCTAGCCCATTGTAATGTATTTTTGTATATAACCCTTGTAACTCCCATGATTGAAATGAAGGAATCATTTCCTGTATTACTAAGTTGACAAATTTTCGTAATCTTATATTTATCTTCTTTGACAAATATGAAGTCTAGAATTTTCATCTTATTTATATATGAAGTTTCAATATGATTCATAAATACGAGTTATGGTCATAATTAAATTTATTGAAATACGAGTTATGGTCATAATTAAATGAACGCGATCATTAAAATTTCATATTTCCTTATATGTAAAAGCATTCTTACGATCTTCATCCTTAAAGCTAAAAATATCTTCTTTGCTATATCGATGTACTTAACATCGAATTAATCTTATAAATTAAATTTTGTCGGTTTTCAAATATCACCATGATCACTGTAAATCTTTAATACAAAAAACATGTTAGTTGTATTTCATTTAAACAAAAATGTCTAGTTAATTTTCCTGAAATAACAAAACCCATATATATATATATATTATGCAACCCTTGACATTTGTGCAATCAATTCAACTCAATCTCAACCGTCCATTTCATTTGATTAATATGTGATTTCATAGAAGTTTTGATTGTTTTCTAATATAAAAATATTGATCAAAATTAATGAACCATATTCATCTTCCATAAATATTCAAATCATAATAAATGAACTCTCATCATTTTCATAAATATCTCAATTTATTGGGTTGCATTG